CTTGCAGCGCTTGAAGGTATTCGAAGAGCAAAGGAATTAAATATTAGCTGCTTGATTCTGGAAGGTGATTCGAAGGTGGTGGTTAGTTGGTTGAAGACAGAGGACAGTGGTTTGTGGAACTTTAACAATGAAAAAAAACAGTTCTTATGGCTGGGTAGGGACATTGAGATTCAGTACAGCTGGGTGAAAAGGTTTCACTATATTGACCATAGTCGACTACTCAAGGGTTAAGTTTCTTATCATCACATTCCTCCTACTCTCTTCAGACACAAAGACATATCCTTGAGAGAGAGTTACACTATCACGGGAGAGAACATACTGTCGTGCAATGTCATACTCTGTGTTGAGTCCTGCTAGAAACTCGAACACTATTTTTTCTTCTCTACCAGCTTTTTTTAAGTGGTTACATCTTTACTACTCTCCCAACTCACAGTCTCCAAATGATTTATCTCTTGCCATAAGATTTTGAGGGCTGAAAAATAAATTACAACATATTTATCTACCTGCCTAGTAGCAATCACTTGATTCATCAACTGGTAGGCCCTAGCAACTAGTGTTATGCATCTTCATTCTTCTTAAGTGAGGTTTGGGTTGAGTCAAGATGGTCACAGTCTCAACTCTAACCCAACCCAAAGCTAAGTCAGGTTCATACTTTTCAACCCTAACCTAACCTAAACTTCAACCCAACCCAATCCTAGCTTTTTGCACTGCACTTGGGATAACCCATCCCAAGTTGCAGCCCTAAGAACACTTCTACTCATTACATTGACCTTTTCAATTGCAATTAGAGGGGTTCTGCACTAAGAATTTGCAAAAAAGAAATTTTCATCCAAAACACAAAATCAAAATGTACCTAATGAATCTAAAGAAAATAAGAAAATCCTAAGCAAAGCAGAAAAAAGAATAAAGCATATGGTTTTCATGAAAATTAACATAAAGCCCACACACGCGCAGGAGAAGATGAAGACTTTAAACCAATGTTCTAAAAATCCGACGCGTGATGCCGATCAAAAAAAAATGCTGAAGCGTGATGAGGCATTCCACTACCCGGAGACATGATGCGTAGTTTAGAGCGCAAGGAGGTGAAAGCCTCAAGCATGTATTTTCTATAGTTATAGTTCCAATTTTTAATAATAAGACATCATATTCGAATAAAAACATATACTTCAGGAATTTGTCTTTCTTTTCAACTAATAGATTTGAAGTCAGGAGTGCTTTTTTTCGTAAATAAAATAATCAAGGATCTTTGATTAATTGTTGACGTTATTACATCTTTGATTGTGTGCGTACAAAGAAAAAATTATAATGAACCAAAGGTCCATTACTGGCTCAGGGCAGCAATAAGAACAGTAACATCATGAAGTAACAAGAGGATATGGTAATAACTGATTACTAACTCTGTTAAGAAGTATTTAAAGTTAAGAGTTGACCCTTTCACCCTTTTTTTGTAAGCCATCTTGTTTCGGAACTGTCATTTGATTAGTTGTTTTTATTTTTAAAAAAGAGCGCAGCGAAGTAATCAATTAGTATTTAGTAGCCAGAGCACATACCTTTAGTCGCAGGTTTTGTGGTTGAACTTCAAATACATAACAGCAGGTTTCGGTCTATATCGTCTATCCAAGAACAATTCGGTACAGAGTCCACAAAGAATAAGAAAAGGAAAACAATAATAAGAACAAGAAGAAGAACAAAACTAGAGCTGTAAGCCTGTAAATGATTGAACCTAAGGTAATGGTGATCGGCAGTTTGAACAGGCCAGCAGTAGCAGCGTCGAGTGGCTTGCCCTAGCTTAGCTTTTTTAATTACTTAAAAGAAACCCTGAACGTTTGAAAAATACTTAAAAAATCCTTCAAATTTCACAACCTCCTTAAAATACCCTTGAATTTTCGGAAATATGATACATACTACCCATCATTTAGTTATCCGTCACAGTCCATGTCCAAGTAATATCACGTGACATTTTAAGCTTTTGAAAACCCAATTTTGACCTCACAATCGACTTTATCCTTCAGCTCAAATCAACTATGTAACGAATTTGGCCTATGCAGCTGTGCTCAGTTTCTCGCAAGTCCTTTGGGTACAGCTTTTGTTATTTATCTTCAAAATCCAAAAAAAATGGTTGATAAACATTTTTTTAGGATTTATTGACAATTATACGTCATTAAGCATCATTAGATGTCATTAGACGTTACATAAGTGGAATAGTAAATAAATATTTAACCATTGAGGAAAGTGTTAGGAATGGCAATAGGGCAGGGCGGGGCGGGGACGGGGAGCCTCTCCTCATCCCTGTCCCCGTCCCAGCTAACGGGGACAAGGTTATCCCCATTCTCGTCTCCACGGAGAATCCCATTTCCTGTGGTTTTTTATAATAATCATTTTTTTAATTTATTTAAAAAATAAAAATAAAATAATTAAAATTTACAATCCTATTAGAAAAGATTCAAACATATTCAACCATACTTTTTAAAATATTAATATATAGTTGTATGTATACATACATACATATAACGTATGCATACATATATACATATATATTAGTAGGGATCACATGGGGTGGGAAGTGCCCTCCCCATTCCCACGGAGGAAAATCATCCCTATCCTAGCCCCATTCAAGGTGGATCCGCATGAAGATTGGAGAAATGAAAAAAATTGCCATCTTTAGGATGTGTTAAAATAGAGCTTCTCCTAACAACTAACTACACAAAAATCAAGAACAAAATTTATCAATACCTGTGTTTGAGATAATAGGACAAATGCTGATTTGGTAATGAATGACACCATTTATCAAATAAATGAAATGAATAGCCTGTTGAGCCCTAGAGAAAGCAGAGTTTCTCCCGGCCCTACTGATCCAAATTCCAAAGGATAATATATCTGATCCACAAGGCACATATGTTGTACTAGTTGCGCAAAAGGCATAGCCAACCCTATAATCTGTTTGTACACACTAATTTGAGTGACAATTCCACCATTGCTTCTACTCACCCACACACTTCCACATCCCCTGTGATTCTTACCCCTGCAACTTGCTAAAAACAGCTGCACCTGTATATCTTGTTGGGACTTTTTCTCCCTCTAATCTGTACAGAATAGCGGCTCCACCAGTTCCACCACCTCTAATTAACACCAATAACCATTAAATGCATCATCCCTCTCAGTCTAAAAAGGTAGGAAAAGATTGTAAAAAAAACGCCAAGAAAGAGCTCTTCGATCTTTAGTGAAGAATAGAAATCATTTGCAAAGAGAGCTTCTAATTTCTTCAATCTTTGGCCAAGGCTATAAATCAGGTTTTATTCTTTTAGCACTACAAACTTGGAAAGTTCAGTGATGAGTCGCAGGTATTCATCAATTTTGGGGTTCCACAAGAAGAAGAAGAAACCATTTCTTGCAAATGTCTTGTGCCTCTCTTTGATCTGTAACTGTAACTGTTCCTTATGCTCAGTTTGGAAGGAGTATAAATGTAAATATGTATGGTACAAATATATATAAAATAATACAAAATACAAGGTTTAAGACTCAATTTGGAAGAAGTACAAATACAAATACATAGAGTGTAAGACTTTATATTTTGTATCATTTTGTATGTATTTATACTGTACATATTTGTATTTATACTTCTTCTAAACTGAGCCTTATTAGCATCTTCCCACTTTCATTTCCTCTATCCTCTCTATCGATTTGTACGGTCAAATATTTTTATTATTTATTATTTTGTTTTTAAAGTTTGAAAAATGGGATATTAGGAATTAACGGGGCAAACGGGCCATTTAATATGTTAGCACAGAGTTCACATCTCTGTCTCACAAGGGGCTGCCCCACAGCACATCTCCGCTGTGCATTGGAAACATCTCCCGATAATAGTATCAGAACTGATGATGTCATCATCGGGAGATGTTTCCAATACACGACAAGAATGTACTGTGGGACATTGTGGAGCGACCCCTTGTAGAGTGGAGATGTGAACTCGTAAGGAGTTCACTACGGCTACGGCATACAGGAACAAGAATCCGAGTGCAGGAAATCCGAACTCATCACACTGTCTCACAGCATTTGCAGCCGCATATCAGGACTTGTAATTTATGGGAGATAATTCCAATGCACGTCACCAATATACTGTTATTCTCTGAGAAGCAAATCTGCATTCCGATGTAACATTCAAGTTGTAATTGATAACCCTCATTCTTATTTGGCCCCAAACACCATGCTTGCTTCTTGCTGCAGGTTGGGAGATCAATAAATGATGGACCAGAATCTTCAGAAAAACTGGGATTATTGCATCCGTGTGAAATGTGGCCCTTGGACAATTTCTTCATGAGGTAGTAAGGATTCATGTTCGTCATCCTTTACGAGCCTATGCTCAGTTTGGAAATAGTATAAAACTATAAATACAAATATGTAGAGTGCAGTTGTATTCTAGGCTCAGTTTTGAAGAAGCACAAATACAAATATATAGAACATGAAACCTTGTAGTTTGTATTATTTTATATGTATCTGCACAGCACATATTTGTATTTTTACGAACGACTACATATATATATGATTGAAACAAAGGCATGCGAATTACAGAAATTGGGCTTCAAAAGACATAAGAATGGTAAACGTAGGATGGAACTGGTAAGGTTTTCAAAACCGGACTAGATCTGATGGTTGGATCGGAAAATCGGGAATCTGTCATTTGACCGGTTCCGTTTTCCCCCAAAACCACTTTTTTGTTCAAAACTGTTGATTTTGGTCAGCAAATTGCTGAACCCGTCGGTTGACAGAAGGAAGAAGAAGGGGCGATCTTCACTGGTGATGTTGACAGCGACAATGACAATGAGATGTTTCTCCCCAAAACCCTTTCAGATCTCTCTCTCTCTCTCTCTTGGATCTCAATGATCTTAGATCTGAGATCTCATCTTAGTTCCTCCCCCATCTCTCAATCTTACCTTTTCTCTTTAATTCTCCCACAAAAAAATTAAATAATTTTTTATTAAACCTTGAACCTGGATCGAAGGTTTAGCAGTTTGATCGCCTGAATTAGCAGTTCTCTGACCAACTCAACGTTTTTTTTTTCAAAAAGAGGTCCAGTCCAAAATCGAACCCAGAAATATGACCGGTTCTGGGTCAAGCGGTCTGATCATTTGGTCTGGTCCGATTTCCAAACAATGGTTCATCTTCCTCTCTTTCTTCTCCCTTCTTAAAAAGGTTTTTGGATGTAGATCTGAAATAGCCACCAAAGATAGAAATAACGAAAAAAAGAAAGATTTTGTGATAGAAACTGTTGAGCAAGAAGTCCAGTTAAAAAGTAAATGGCCGGTCGTCCCCCTTTGACCCTTCTAAGAAGACATGACATATGAACTAACAAAAACCATGGATGGAAAGAAAAATGCAAACATTTGAATGTATTAGACTTCACAAATGTTCTTTGTTTCCTCATTTTTAAGGGTTATCTCAAGGGAAAGGGTAAAGGGTAAGGAGTCTAGGGTCATGCATACAAAAAAATGGTTCCAATGCCACCGAAGAAACCTGTATCATTCATATAAAAAAATGTAGAGTAACATAGGGTCATGCATCTCCTTATGAAGAAACAAAATTTTCAAAACATAGATCCATATTTAGTTGTTTAAATCATATAAAAAGCAAAAAACATGTAATGACTAACTTTAATGGCTCAGTTTGGAAGGAGTACAAATACAAATATGCACAGTATATATACATACAAAATAATATAAAATAAAAGTTTTGCGTTCTACATATTTCTTATTTGTACTCCTTCCAAATGGAGTCAATGCACCAAATGAGAACCAATAACTCAAATGCACCAAATTAACTCTACCCAGGAAAATGTAATGATTAACCAAAAGCAAGTAGAGGATGCATAAAAGTAGAGGTGTAAAGTGGGTCGGGCCGTGCCGCCCTCCTCGGTGAAAAATTTGGGGGTCAACCCGGCACGGCCTATGGCCTAGGCCCGTGCTTTGTCGCGGGCCGGGTTGGCCTGTGGGCCGAGCCTTGGGCCAAGTCGGGCTGTTCATTGGGCCAAAGCTATTTATTTAAAAAAATTGACAAAAAACTTAAAATATTAATTTTATATGAATTTTGTGTATAAATTTTATTTATATATACAATAATTAAATAAATTAGTATAATAAAATTAAAAAATATATTTATTTTATTAATATATTATATACTATATATTATTATATAATTATAATTTATATAATATTATATAAATATATAAAAAGTATATATGGGTCGTGTCGCGGGCCATGTTGGCCCGTGGACCTAAAACCTAGGCCCAGCACAGTCCACATAGTCGTGCTAGGCCTGGCACGGCCTGATTTACACCTCTACGTAAAAGGAACGTGAATTCATCAACATTGCTAGCAGTGTGGGTGATGATTGACCTTTATTCAATTCTACAAGTTGGGTAAATTGATTTGATTTGGTTAATGCCAACCTTGGTTCTTTCCACGACACTTCAGGACTACAGTCAAGGGCCAAGCAATGCTTGACTTCAAAGTTATCAGTGCTCAAGGTCAAACTGAAGGAATGGAAAGATCCATTGTATGGACACCGGGATAAAGCAGAATTGAATGGGCGAATTTCAAATTTTTTTTTTCCTTCCTACAACTGGGAATCGTATTCCCTATTTTAGAAAACTAATTTTCAAAGATCAATCTTGAATCGAGAACCGAACCAGATCTGAAACAAAATGAAAGGAGAGGGAAATACCTGATACGGAGAATTAGTATCCCCCAATGAAGGTGTTCATGCCTAGAAAAGTCACCAAAGACTGCTCACACTGAATATGGCGCAGTGTAGGACGGAGCAGAATCAGCAACGTTCTTCACAAGAACTGGATCCTTCGCAATAACCTACTGGACGGCAGGTGAGCACAACTTCTTTTCAATTCTTTCACAAAGAACTGAAATCAAGAACGCTTCTTGATGACTCCCACGTGAGTGGAGACGAACTGCTAATGGCGGCGGCGATAGAGAGAAATTGGCACAGTCTCACTGTATGCTGATCTCTCTCTCTTTGTTGTATCTGTATCTCAGATGAGTGTGTTTAGAGGTTGCCGCCCCCTCCTCCTTTTATAATCCTAAAGGGATCAGCTCCTAATCCTATTAGGAGATGTTGATCCCCTTAAGTGATAAGGTAGAGTCATTATCTAATCTACAGATCATGATCAACCCTCCTAATTTAATTAGGAGTTTCTAGTTTTGAATCATATTCAAATCTAGACTCTTACTGAGTGGATAGGGACTTTCCCTTATCCTTTAAGGCTGGTCCACATCTCAGATTCACCCCATTCAAGCCAATCTAATCAGCCCAGCTCGTATTGGGCTTTTGGCCCATTAAATGTATGTGCTCACTTAAGCCTTCCAAATTGATGCTTAGCTGGACTTTCTCTGTATGGCGTGGGACCCAAACGTTAATCTACACATCAGCCACAAGGGTTCGGCCCAACCTCTGTCACAAGGCTTAGCCGAATTCACTAGAAAGCCCAGTAAACCCCTTGATCCCTTCATATGGACTCTATGGGCCCAGCACTTATACTAAGTGGTTCTTGGGCCAAGCCACCTTGTAACACCCAAGGACTGTGGGCAGATGCAAGATTAGCCCATCAGGTTTAACCCTCAATGGCCTTACACTTAACCTCTCAGCCCATAATGATCAAACACTACCCGACAAGGGAGGACCGCAAACAATTTTGGAAACCTATAGTATATATATTATATAAATATATTTTACAAAACAAAATTTCAACGGTTGAAATCAACTGCCGGAAATTTTGGTTTCCATAAGAGAGAGTGCATTTCCTCGATCATTACCTTTGTCCGACAAAGGGGTTGATCCTGTCACTATGGTAACCCACTTAGATGGGTTCATGAATCATCTCAACATACCCAGGTTTTGGCCCCCTCTAAGGGTCTCACTGATTGGCATATCAAAAGACAATCCAATCCGTCACCTAATGCGGTGCCATAATCGAGTCTAGGGGTCAAGTGTAACATTCCAGTTTTGCCCATTAATCGCCAAGGTCCAAGGCAATACTGGAATTCTTGTTCGGTTCAAGGTTTCAAGGTGATCCCACAATGCATGTACCTCGGGTCTCACCTTGGTGGCAGAGACAGGCCACCCCAACCAACTTGGCAGCACATCAGTGTCAGCCTTATCAGGATAGGTCTCCCCAGACCGACCACTGACTGTGAACGTTCTAAACCAACACAAGTCTCATAAGTGTCCGATTTTAAGGGTATTACACAGAAACACACCACATGACATGAATCAAATATGCACTTCATTCATTTATAATAAATGTCATAAGTACATCAAACTGATTGGAGCTAAGGGCATACAAAACTGTCTAACACAAACACATCAAACCAAAATCAGGCACATAGTGTGCAAATTTGACGAATTGATAAAAGAAGAGAGGTCTTTGTCTGATAACATTACCAAAACAGGGGAAGTCTTAATCCTTTTTGAAAAGAGAGGTGAGGTTTTAGTATTTATAGAAACATGAAGGTTTTGGGTCTTTTTGATTCACAGTTGGAATTGAAATCAGATTGGTCTATTCCCCCACCTATTTGGCTCAAATGAAATTAAAATCTACTGGAATGGATTCTCATTTTCCCAAGGAGGGGGAGGGATTGGTTGAGGGAATGGACATTCTACTAGGAATGGGAATCATATTCTAATTTCGCCCAACCAAATGTTGGATTATCCAAAAAGATGCAATCATGCAAATAAGACATTTGAAATTTGTTTTGAATGTGAAATATTTACACATTTTCTTTTATTAATGACCAAAATGTAGATGGCAAAGAGTACTAGATGAAAATTCCCCTAGGATCGGTTTGGGAAGAGTGTGAATACAAATATGTTCAATGCAAAACTTTCTTTTTTCATGAACTGTGCATTTTTGTATTTGCAGAAGCTTGTCTCTTTTCAAGTTCAAAACACCAACCCAAAACATGTCAGCAATCAGGAAAGATGGACAATGCGATCCTTGTTTTCCATGTAGATCCTTCTAATCAAGTTTGTGCATTTAGTCCTTTTTTTTTTTTCCTGGGAGAGTGCTACTTTATTTTGATAGTCTTAAGAATGCAGTAGATCAGGGGGACCATCTTGATTGAATCGATTTTTGCTTAAAATACCCTTGCAAGTAGACATATTTACACTGACATGAGTATATTTATCTAAACTAAAAGAGAATTAACTGGTGTGCCTGTTACTGTGCTGCCACACCCATATCTTCTTCATATGGTTCAGTGGCTTGCTCCATCCACTATTATGAGAATATGGTTCATAAGATCCTCTGATGCCTAGTGAGACTTATTAGGGTGAATGAGATCCTTTAATTGAGCCAGAACAATTTGACCACAATTCAAATTGAAACCCTATTGAGACTTGATAATCTTGTAAAGTGATGTGAATGAGTAAAGTTACCCCTACATGGTCAAGTTATGGTTAGGCTTATTGGGGTGTAGGGTCAGGATAGAGTTTTGATGATTTAACCCAAATCAGGTGTAGGTTTGGCTGACCTACCCCATCGTGTCATAATACCCCTATTATAAAACATATTCTTGTAATTAGGTTTGACTTTTAACCCCTAATCATATAGTTTTATGATTTCCTTCAATGCTTGTTTTAACCCAAATCTAGTGTAAGATTAGATTACAGACTTCAAACCCCTAACCTTAAAGTTTATGATTTCTATCAATGCTTGTTTTAACCCAAATCGGGTGCAGGATTAGGTTAGAGTTTTGATAATTTAACGCAAATTGGGTTCATGTTTGGCTAATCTCTGCCCATCGAGTCATAAAACCCCTATACATATAAAGGTTATTTTTGTAATTTGGTCTGACACCTAACCTTAACGTATATGATTTATTTCCCTATTTGTTTTTGTTGTTTCTTCTTTCATTTGGAGAAGCTACCTTGGAACCCATAAACCAATTTCCAACTTTAATTAATGGTTCTTAAGTTTTTCAAAAAGTTTCACAAAAAAATATAATTGAAAGACTACAGGTTAGGTTGGGTCGTTATCAAGTTGAACCTATAGGCTGAGGTAGGTTCGAAAACTATATAGTACTGAGTAGGGTTGAGATTGGGTTTGACTGGAAGCATGGAAGGGTCAGGTTAGGGTCCTCCAAACTCGTGCCAACCCTATAGGGTTCAACCTAATACCAACCAAACCCATGCTGCAGTCTTTCAATTGTATTTTTTTGAGACACATTTTGAAAACCCAAGTTCCATTAAGTTAGTTGGAAATTGTTTTATTAGTTAGGTTGACATTCTTATTCTCCTATGCTCTATTTTTATTATGTATGGACATTTTGAAAAAAAAATGAAGTAGAAAGAGCACTATGACATTCTTAATTAGGTGTGATTATGTACCGGGTTAGGCTATAGGCCCACTACAAAGCTTTATTAATGTAATTATATTAAACAGTATTTAAAATAATAGAATTTAGTTTTAAAATTAATAAATTTCTCATAATAAAATTAATTTTATAAGATTACTATTATTTATTTATTATTATTATTATTATTAACAAATTTGAATTAAATTTTACAATTTTCCTATTTTTTAAATATGACTTAAATGGATTAAAATTATAACTTTTATAATTTTATTAGAAATACCAATAAATTATGCTACCTAATTAAGTTAATTAGGATTGTTTAACCACATAAATAAGTTACCTAGTTAAATAGGTAACTTAAACACGCATTGAGGTTGATGCTAACCTAACCAGAATGGTTTGAACCACCAACCCTGATACAAATCTAACCTCATAAAAGATTGCATCAGGTTGGAGAATGGTTGGGTTTGGGCTGAGACAATCAGTTTTCATGTTACCCTGAATGGATGAACAAAAGTCATGGTGCTTTAGAAGTATCCATGTTAAAAATACATTCATAATTATATAATGTTTATACATAAATATTTAATAGACTAGTTGGGTCGGGTTACACAGCCTCAACTCTAACCCAACCTGAAGTAAGGTTCATAGTTTTTAACCAACCCTACTTTTTTGGGTTGGTTTAGGCCAACATGGCCCAAGTTATATCCCTAATAGCAGAGTTTATAGATTGTTTATTGAGGAATGAGGAATATATTTCTAAATTAATAACAAGTTAGTGCAACTACCACGCCCCACAGAGTACTCTTGACCTTCATTATTTATGGTGACCACCAGAAAGGGAAAACTTGTTTAATGTCTGTGGCAAAACAAATACATAACCCCAGTTCAGCTGTCTAGAAATTCAAAGTCTCCATTTCTATGCTGGTTTTGGCTCAAATTTGAGGGGAGAACTTTCAACTATATGTTTCACTTATTTTCTTCTATAAAACCAAAAATAGCCTCGAGGCCTTTGCTCCAAGCTGATCAGCCTCAGTCCGGACAATCTCTTACTGTAACGTGTGATAGTGTATTCTAAGTGGATGGGATCTAAATTTCAATACGGGTCAGACGTTGGAATGATAAAGGTAATAACAATAAAGTTAATTTTTTTTTGATAATTGAAATATCATTAACTAATAAAAAATATGATTACATAAATATTGATCAAGTCAGGTAGGTTATCCCACCAATAACACACATCAAAGGTTTTGCTTTCTGGGCCAGTACATGAACAGCTTTAGTATATGACCTAGACTTATATACAAATGAGACATTGTTAAGAGTTCCAAGTACAAACAATATTTTATTAAGCTAGATACAAAAAAACCAAGAAATTGCAAATTCTTTTCCCTGAAGAGTAGACACCATTTTTCGCATCGGAAAAGACCATTAAAGATTCCCAGCCCTGAAACCGAGCAAAAGAAATAGCTTGCAAAATAGCCCCTAATTCTGCTTCAATGGGAACTTTAACAATCCCTAATTACTACCTGCAACCATTAAAAGAGCTTGTGTTAGAATACAAACAGACGCCGTATGTTCCTCTATTTCTATTACTTACACCCCCCATCACATTGAATGATATAACAATGGAGTCTTGGGGGAGCTGAACCTGTAGTATTACATACTTTACTAGCGGAACCTGAAAAGTTAAGTCACCTCCCTGTAAAGTACTTAAACATTATAAACCGACTAAAGCACCCAATTACAAGATCTCATCACACTGTTAAAAGTTGTTTCATTTCAAGCTGTCCAGATATAATAGAAAGCAACTGCCAGCCATGATAAAAGACTATGTCCTCACAATCTATTCCCGAATTCTTGATCAAATAAAAAAAATCCTTTCAAGCATTACATTGACCACAGACTTACAAATAAAACCATACAAGGGACAAAATACAAAGAGAAGAATAAGAGATTCAAGACCACTTTTTTTATTTTATTTTTTGGGGGCGGGGGTCCAGATTCAACACCATTTTGACACAGGATAAATATCATCATCAACAATTCACAAATCAAATTTAAGAAACAAAAACCACGATACAATCTCCAAAGGAACAAATGAATAGCCAACTTCCAAATCTTCCTAATCAAATCAAATTGAACCTTCCAATGACAAGTGACAAAACCAAAGAAAATTTTTAATTGTAATCTTACCATTTACATTTCTTGTCCAAACAAATTTATTAGCATTTTCTGTTACCAAAAATATGGGTTTTAAAACTATGAGATAGGCTGCTGAAAAATCTCAGACAATTTCTGAATATCCCACCTAACTGAAGACTGGAAAATTAAATCTTCGACCTGTAAGTCCTTAAACCTATGAGATGGAGAGCCAATAGGGAACCATGAAAGAGTTATTCAAGGGACATCCAGACTTTATTTGTTGAATTTGGACCCTATTGTTGGGAATGAATGCATTAACGCTTCAAGGAAAATTTCCATTGTTAGTTAAATATTTACTTTGTAATAATTGCATCCACAAAGAACTCCCTCCAGAAACAAACCTCTTGACTAATTTACAAATCAAAGATTTATTTACAAGATCCGTTGTCTTAAAACCCAAGCCACCCTTTTAGGAAAACATAATTTATCCCAACTTGCCTGTTTCAAATGCTTCTTCAACCAAAACTTTCTTTGAGGTTTTTCCATTTCATGAAGTTTTCTAAGGAAACTGAACAACACTCATAATGCACATGAATAGATTGTAAAACCAACTGAACCAACAGTTTGGAGCAAGAAAACTGGAAATTGAAGGGGATTCACTATTAGTTATAACTTTGGCAAAGCAAATTGACTCAGCACCTTGGATATTCAGATTAAACAAATTGACCTACTTGCAAAGAAATTCAACACCAGTTTTGGTTGAGTTAAAAGGGAAGCAAATAGCTTGGCGGATACTCTAGCAAAGCAGGGGGCTGATAGACCCACTTTATTTTGGGCAATGTTGTAATCTGTTGTAACCTGGGTCATTTTAAGTTGAATTGCTGTTGTACTTTAACTAGTAACTTAATAAGGGAATTTATTTTACTGATAACAGAAAAACGACTTAACTGAAGTTTGTCTCCAAGCATAAGATAAAGAAGAAGCTTCCCATTTAATAAGTTAACCTTTTAACTTTTCTAAAATAAACTCCAAAGATTTTGCTTTGTTTTTCCTCGACAAAAGGGGCACTCCCAAATGTTTACAGTTCTTATTTGATACATTTTCTTTTAACTTCTCAACATTTTAGCACCTTTAAGAGTATTACAGCTAAACCAAATCCCATACTTTTGAAAATTTATGGACAAACCAGAAACTTCTTGGAATTTTTTCAGAACTTCAATAAAACTAGGCACTTCATCTCTATTAGCTTTGCAAAAAAAAAAAAAACAACACATCATCCAGAAAATGCCAATGAGAAATCTTAAGACCATACAATTGAACTTGAATAAATTTTGTAAAGCCCTCCATTACATGAACAAATAAATAGGGAAAATAGGATGAATGCAACCTATGTCTCACTTATTTCCAAGTGAGCTGGTGTGACCTCCACAAATGATTTCTGTCCCATAAGTCTGGCCACTTGTTTGTACAAGATAGTGGCAAAGGTGTTGTCAGCATGACTGAAGAAAATGATTCACATTGTAGTCTCAAAGGAACATGGGGCTTTTGTCAAAAAACGGCAGATATCAGATCAAACCCTTATTGTAAATGAGGATGTGGAGGATAAAATGGATCAGGGACTGTTTGAGGACCACCCGCTTTTCTATTCTCATCAATCGATCACCTAGGATTTTTTTTCAAGGCTACTAGAGGGATTTGTCAGGGTGATCCATTGTGTCCATTGTTATTTATGTTTGTGGCTGAGATTTTTAGTAGATTGCTAAAATGAGCTGAAGAAAGAAACACCTTTCAAGGTTTTAGAGTAGGGGATGCAGGTCAAGTGGCATTGTCGTTTGGACCGTCCATCACTTCCCGCTTTCAATAAGTTGCAATGCAAGTCATTTCAGCTTAGCAAGCATAGTCAATTGTCATTTGTTCCAAGAGAAAATACTAGTGTCAAGTCCTTTTGTTCTTGCCCATTCAAATGTTGGGGGTCCAAATCATGTTGTGTCATAAGATGGGTTTAAATATTTTGTTACATTTATTAAAGATTATAATGATTTGGATTTATTTAATGAAAGCTTGTTCAGTTTTGTTCATTGTATTTCTTTTCTATGCTGAAATTCAAACTCAATTTGGTGTTTCTATAAAAATGTTTCGTTCAAATAATGCAAAAAAAGAAAAATATTTTCAAGGACCTTTCCAGTTGTTCTTTGGCTCTCATGGTATTATTATTCAGCAGTTTTCCTGTTCACATACACTACAACAAAATGGTGTGGCTAAACGGAAGAATAGACATTTACTTGATACAACTTGGGCCCTCCTAATTCAGATATCAATTCCTAAAATTTATTGGAGTTATGCTATCCTCACATCTTGTTTCCTTGTTAATCGTATCCTTTCTTCAGTCCTTAATGGTGAGTCTCCCTTCTTTTTCCTTCCATGTCTCTATTTTCCCTTCACCCTCATGCTTTTGGATGTTTTTGTTTTTCAAAGGTTTGGTCCAGGCTAGATAAACATGATGCCTGTGCTCTTAAGTGTGTCTTTCTGGGATATTCTTGGACTCAGAAAGGTTACAAGTGTTATTGTCCTACTCTTTGTCAGTTTTTTGTTCTTCCTGATGTTTCCTTCTTTGAAAACATTCCCTATTTTTCCATAGTTGAGTCCTCTTCATCTCCTCCACTTCCTCTCCCTATTCCTACTATGAAGATTTCCCCGTCAACTACTACTGCTGTGGTGTCTATGCAACCACTGATTCATAGTGTGTATACTAAAGGACCACTGTGGAATCTTTACTCCATCTCCAATTTCTATGCCCATTGCCCTTTAGAAAGGTAAATGCTCATGTACTGATCATCCTATGTTGCTTTATGTGTTTTTTGTTCATCTATCTCCTTCCTATTGGCAGTTTGTCTCTTGTTTCCTCTATGTCTATTCCCCGGTCTTGTCTCACCAAACTGGAAGAAGGCAATGGATGAGGAATTTCACGCTCTTAAGACTAATCATACTTGGGATCTCACTCCTCCCTCCTAGAAAGAAGGCAATTGGTTGTCGTTGGTTTTATGCAGTTAAGCATTGGTTTGATGATAGAGTGGAGCAGTATAAAGCACGGTTGGTGGCAAAAGGTTATACCCAAAATTATGGTGTTGATTGTACTGACACCGTTTGCCTAGTTGCTAAGATGGGCTTTGTATGTCTTATTATTTCTTTGGCTGCCTACTACGATTAGTCATTATTTCAGTTGGATGTGAAGAGTGCCTTCCTCCATGGTGACCTTCAAGAGTAAGTGTTTAAGGAGCAACCTCCCGGTTATGTTGCTCAGAGGGAGATTGGGAAGGTATGCAGATTAATGAGGGAAATTTTCTTTTTTTGATAGTAAAAGTAAATTTTCATTAGAAAAGAAAAGAACCATAACCTATCCAGGTGTTAAGGAAACACCCACATGCCAGAATTCTGGCCAACTCAATTACAACTCAACAAAACAAACCAAATTACACATTTGAATCTTCAACACTCGCCCAAGCTTAACCCCAATATCTTCTTTGGATAATTATCTAGATTCTGGTACTAGAACCCGACCAACAATAGATTTGCTGACTGCTGCCACTGTTCTCCAAATTCTAAGCTTTGGCTCTGAAAATTCTTCTAATTCTTTCCTTCCATAAATTCCAACATCTTGCAAACGGAATACAACTCCAAACCAGCCCTGCTTTCTTGCTTCTACTATATGTCTTTCCTCTCTCAAGCCCTAACATTCCAAAATATCGACTTAAACTTCAAAGTCAGATCCCAACTCCCCCCTCTACATTTTCTACAATCTCCCTCTACTCTTAATCAACTACTTTAAAAAGGCAATTTTTGGGTTGAAGCAGTCACTACAAGCCTGATTTGGTTGGTTTAGTAGCATGATACAGCAATTTGGACTATGAAAGTGCAGTGATGATTACTGCATGTTGAGTGGATATACATATTCTGGTAAGATTATCCTAGTTATGCATGTTGATGGTATTATTATTACAGGAAGTGATACACAGGGAACCAAATAATTGAAATAATTCTTACAACAACAATTCCAAACTAAAGACCTGGGCACTAGAGGTATTTTCTATTGAGATAGTGAGGTCAAAGTGGGGAATCTCTCTCTCACAAGGAAGTATGTGCTTGATTTATCAGAAGAGGCAGGGTTATTAGGAGCAAAACCAATGGATACTCCTTTTGATCCAAATGTTAAGATATCTAATAGTGAGGGGGAGCTAAAGGGAAAACTCATCTATCTCAATACAACGAGATTAGATACTTCCTTAGAACAAGGTTGTTGAGCCAATTTATGCAGAACCCACGGATACTTGGTGGAGAGATTCTCTTTTATGTCAATCCTTTCCTAGAATATATGGGTTATCCAACT